TCTTCACGCCTTTCAAGACTTCCTTCGATCCTTCATGACTCTTAGGATGCTTTTCTATCCTTGAAAAACATATCCCTTCTTGTCGAATTCACCAAGAGAAATCAAATTTCTCTTCAAATCAGGTACATACTTGGCTTCAGTCAATAGCCTTATTGACTCATCATGGAGCTTGAATCTCTCATATCCAATACCTGCAACTTTGCAAGCTTTGTTGTTTCCCAGCAACATTGATCCGTCATCTTTATCACATAATTCCTCAAACACGTCTTTATTTGGAGTCATGTGCCAAGTGAAATCTGAATCCATAATCCACCCCTTTCTTGAGTCGCTTCTTGAAACCACAAGAACATCAGATGAGTCGAAGTCATCTTGAACAATGGTTGTGTTGGCATTATCCTTACCTCCATGATCTTTCAGGCGCTCATAGCACACCTTTATTGTGTGACCATCATTCTTATAGTGATAGCATTGAATACCAAATGCCTCGCCACTATAAGACTCATGCTGACTTTTACCTTTCGTCTTATCGAACTTACCATCCTTTTGCAAGAATTTTCTCCTAACGATCAAACCTTCACCAACAGTCGAAGGTTTATGCTCCTTTCGTTTGTTCAAGTTCTTAGAATACAAGGCTGATTGAACTTCTTTAAAGCACGGGGGCTTCCTTCTATACAAGAGAGTTTCTTTGAAGTGGGCATGTGTTCTGGGTAAAGCACACAACAACAACAGTGTTTGATCTTCATCATCGATCTTCACATCAGTATTTTCAAGATAAAAAATCAGCTTGTTGAATATATTCAACTGCTCAGCAAACACTTTGTCTTCACTCATCTTGAATGAATACAAAGATTGCTTCAGGTATAGTCGATTCACCAAAGATTTGGTCATGTACAAACTTTCAAGTTTCAACCATAACCTTGATGTCGTAGTCTCCTTTGATACCTGTCGGAGAACCTTATCACCAAGGCTTAACAATATTGCGTTGTGGGCTTTCTCTATCATTGTCGTCTTTTCAGTTTTTGTTAATGCAGCGTTCATGGCTGCCTCTCCCTTCAACTCTTCCAAACAACCTTGTTGAACCAGTAGGGCTTTCATCTTCAAGCGCCACTGGCCAAAATCGTTGACCCCGGTGAACTTTTCAATCTCATACTTTATTGAAGGCATCTTCTCCATGCTCACCGCACTAAATTGTTGTGAAAATGATGTCTTGAGACAAAGTATAAATGGTTTCTTTATGACCAAGAAACACACAAGGGTTAGGGTTAACGAAAAAATAAGAAGAAGAATAACAAGGATTGGTTATAACTGCTATTCTTTACTTTCTTTTTAAATCAGATTACAAGTACTCAAGAATAACAAATAACCTTCTCACCTTAATTAGGATTTGCCACACTTAAGATGAGAGACTAGTATGTTATTTATAATAAAACCTAACATACTAAACTAATGAGCTTTTTAACAATTACCCATTACAAGATAACTTAGGGTACATGCTAACTTAAACAATTGGAACCTTAATACAAGACCCAATTCGACATTACAATTACATATTTGAATTGACTTCGACTATAATATGTAACACTTCAACAAAAGCATGTGAACATCCTTCGACTGCATGCTAAACATCTGTAGAATCAAGAAGCTACCTTCGATCATACTAGAGTCCTATCCAATATCTCACAATGTGGTTAGATTTTAGGTTCTGTTTCTATGTTGTTTGCTTTAATGGTGTAAGGTGATTGAGTTAATAATATGGATTGTAATACTTTATGAATGAAGTTATTGCTATTGTTGAAGTTTTATTGTTCAAGTTGTTGATATGGTTCAATTTATTGTTATGGTTAAATTTGTATTGCATAATACTACCATAATTTTGACTGCATAATGTATAATCCTAACTGCATAATTTGAACAGGACCTGTAATAACCATTTGGACCTATAATAATTTGGACCCATAATTTTCCATGTAATTTTCCCTGTAATTTGACCTATAATTTGGACCTGTTATGGTAGGATATTTACTGAGTAATGCTACCATAATTTTGAACCTGTAATAACACAACATTTGGACCTGTAATTTGCACAAGGTATTCAATATGAAACCCAAGACGAATAACTTAACAAGGGATATAAACCAAACCATAATACTTACCATTAACATTGTTTTAACATTAATATTCATACAGCCAAAATAAAACTCAAGACACTACTTGAGTCAAAATGAAACTACTTAAAATCCAGGACCGTCTTTGAGGGTGTGCAAGGCGACATACAGCACAGGGCCTCACTACTTTTCAAGACTATGCTATTTAGAAAAGGGTCTCCATACATATATTTTACGGTTAATTTACAATTAAAAGGGCTTATTTAAAAAAATCACAAACTTACTCCAGCTTTTACACAGGGTCTCTCAAAAGTTTGAGATGTCTCCATACAATACAGCCAAAATAAAATTCAAGTAATTCCTTGAGTAAAATGAAACTACTTAAGATCCATACATTACTACTTAAAACTACAATCAAAGTCATTATTCTTGAGTAGGTTGATGAGTTTGTGAACTTTGAACAATTTATGTTTGCTTTTCTTTAGACTTGTTGGTTCCCTTTCCACCCTTCACTTTCTTAGCCTTCTTTGGTTTATTACCACCCTTTGGAATTGCCTTATCAACTGTTGTTTCCCTTTACATATCCTTTTATTATGTCTCACAACACCACATTTTGCACATGTGACAGACGAAAATTTTCTTGGTCGTATGTGAGAATTTCTAGGTTCATCGTTTGCCTTGTTCCTCTATTTTTTGGCCGACTTATGGCTTTTCTCACCACTTGTGGTGCCGCTGTATTATGATCATCTATAGGCCACAATTATGGTCATTTGGTTAGATATACAATATTTAAGTAAATGTCCATAAATGTTGATTTCCTAAATAAACAAAACACAGTTAGGATACCACATCAGTCAAAATTTCAGTAAATGGAGTTAGGATACCATATCAGTCATACCTATAACATGCAACAACATAATCCTCATACTTTTTCTTGATGTTCCATATACATGCAATTACATGACAACAAGGTATGCTAGACAAATCTCAGCCTGCTCTTTCTTGTTTGGGCAGCTAGAAACTTCACCTAAAGTCTCTTGAGGAAGGACTTTAGTCCAGTCCATCTCACTCTCCTCAAATTCTTCTTTAAATTGAAACTCATTATCCTCAAAACTACCCTTACTTGCAACATAATCCTCAACAATACCTTCTTGCCCAGTTTCATTGTTAACATCAATATTACCATCATTACTAACATCTTCAGCAACACCATTTGCACTTTTAAAACCAGTGCATTGTACTTCATTTTCACCACCACCCTCAATGTTTGCATCTAGTTCACTATCATAAACAATATCTTGAATTTCCACATTATGCTCCACATACACATCATTATTTCATAGCCTACAACATCTTTTGAAAATTGCAGTATATCCTGATCATTGTTCAAGGGTCTAAGACCACGAGAAAAGTTATATGCAGGGTTCCAATACCACAAGCATTTATGTTTGTGCAACCTTCACTCTGAATCATACTCTCTAATTCCATGTATGATATATAATTGACATCCCAACTCCAATTCATCGCGGTAACTTCCCCATTAACATGCCACTTAACAGGTGTCTCAAATGATTTTCCCATATGATGTATTCTCAACCTAATCGTATTAGTTATAGGTGGTCTGAGAAAAAATTGACAAAAAAAGATTCAAATTAATAGAAACTGACAATCAGAACCAAAGTATACATAAACAAAACTAAACTATCGAGACCACAAAGACAAAGAAACATGCCTTACACGGTATTTGACCTCTTCGTTTCTCTCCTTTTGAGATTGTGAGTGCGCCATCTGTGTAAAATCACAAGAACTTTGAAACTCAGATTCACAAAATGGAGAATTTGAAACCCAGCTTTATAAAATGGAGACTTTAAAACCCAACTTCGTAATAACAACTAATTTACTTGCACACTTGAACAATTTAGAAACTAGTGAATGATGGATGTGAAAAAAGGATTAGACATTTTGTAGCTACTGAATCAAATTTCTCTCCTTTTGATCTTTTGTTTCGTTTTCAATTTTTTATAACAATTTTATAACAATTAAAAAATGTTTTCTTTACTTTTTAAATATTTTGATAATTAAAATATTACACTATTTTTTAAATATTTTAAATTTATGACATAAATCTAAAATCAAGCTGTCACCTTATTAATAAAGATGTCACATATAAATAAAATTAGATAGAGAATCATAAAAATTCTAAAACTATTAAAATTAAGAACAAGAGTGATCAATTATTTAGAAAACTAAGGAATAAAAAAGTGCATTTAAGTTTGTCTTTATTAAAAAAAAAACAAAAAAAAACTACTTAGAGTCACCGAAAAACTATAGTATTTCACTATTTCTATAGTTCTTTCCACCTTTCATTCTTGCTTGTTTTCCAATCTAAACAAATCAGTATATTTTCGGCAAAAATCAAAACTCTTATTTTTACGATGCCTATGATTCACACTGCTTAGGTTTCTCTCTCTTCCATTAACACCAAAGTATGTATCTCTCACACCAATCCCAACACTGTCACTGTTTTCTAAACTTCAATTCCTCTTCACTTTCACTATCCTTCATCAATTTCTTTTTCTTTTTTTGGGTCTTCAATTTTCTGGAATTGCAGCGCATTTACGTGTAACCCTAGTTTTCTAGAATCATATTTGGGTGATAGCTAATCAAACCCAATATTGTTTTATTCTCAAAATGCTACCTTTTTCATTTCTACTATAACTTGAATCTTAAGGGTTTGTATTAATTTACTTGTGTTATTAGAATTTTTGGAATTCAATTATTGGTTCATGTTATTGTGGTTTTTTTGGGGTTATTTTGATTTTGATTTGATTTCTGGTTCAATTGGAAAATTATTGCAGATTAAGATCTCTTTCTGAGTAAGGAGATTGATTGAAGATGGTTGGGAACCCTGCAATCAATGTCTCATCATTGCCAACTTCTGTTTCTTCATGTATGATGATTTCTCTACCAGGCAACTCATTGAAGTTTGCGCCTTTGTCGATTCGAAATCGGAAGAAAATCAACAAGATTAGAGCTACATCTGCTGATGGAGGTAATGTCAAACAGACATATAATTCAGAAGCAAAGAATCCTCTTGCAGTTGTGTTTGACATTCCTCGACGGATTTGGAAGCAAACGCTGTGTCCATTAAGTGATTTCGGGTTTGGTCGCAAGAGTGTTTGGGAAGGTGGTGTTGGACTGTTTTTGGTTTCTGGTACGATACTATTTGTGCTTAGTATGGCTTGGTTAAGGGCGTTTCAAATAAATTCTAAATTCAGGAAGTATACTGCGGTTTTCGAGTTTGCTCAGGCTTCTGGTATAAGCACTGGAACGCCTGTGAGAATCAGAGGGGTCACTGTAGGCAATGTCACTCGCGTGAATCCTTCCTTGAGAAGTATTGAAGCGGTTGTTGAGGTTTGTTTCGGTACCATAATCCAATTAATGACTCTAATACATAGTCATTAGTATCTTACTATTCGTGCAAATCGTATCTTGTATCTCGATTCGATACTAAATTGAACCAATCGATACAAATCTCTAGTGTGGATCTATTTCTTGCTTTGGTGTGACTTTCATTGTTTTAGTTTTTGGATTGTATTAAACATAAGTTTTCAATTTGCAGATACAAGATGATAAAACAATTATACCAAGGAACTCGTTTGTTGAGGTAAACCAGTCCGGTCTTCTGATGGAAACTAAAATTGACATCAATCCTCGAGATCCAATTCCAACACCTTCAGTTGGTCCTCTTCACGAAGAATGTGCTAAAGAAGGTCTCATTGTGTGTGATAGAGAAAAGATCAAGGGTCACCAAGGAGTAAGTTTGGACGAAATGGTAGGAATATACACCCGTCTTGGACGAGATGTTGAGGGAATTGGTGTCGTCAACAGTTATGCGTTGGCTGAACGTGTTTTCGCTGTTATGGAAGAAGCAAGACCACTTCTTACACAGGTATGATGTTATTTGACTTGTGTGTTTGGCATATGGAAATTATTCTCAATTGCCATATTGTTGATTCAGATAAGTTCCATGCCAGTAGAAAATATGGTTAAATGATGCATCCTCATGCCTAGATTTTCTTTTTGGTGTAGTAATGCCTCAGATGAAAGCCATGGCTCTAGATGTTCAACCTTTGTTGGCTGAAATTCGTGATAGCGGCCTGTTGAAGGAAGTTGAATGTTTGACCCAAAGCCTTACCCAAGCTTCTAATGATTTGAGGTCAGTTGCCTAAACGCCTATGGATATTTTGTGCGACTTATTTGCCTTGCATACATGATTGCGTACACGTAGCTGTGTAGCACATCATTGTTAGTTTAGGGGATGTAACTAACTCGGTAACCTTTGGAAATCAATCAGGATTTAGGAGATTTGACAAAGATAATGGGATGAGTATTAGGTTGTAATTTGTTCAGTTGAAGACCTTGAAACGGAAATTGCACATGAAGTTCTCTTGTTATTCTACCTATTGCATGAGAAAAAACATTAACCTATTATGTTTATCCTAATATATAACTTGTAAGAATTGAATCGAATTTGTTCAAAAATTCAGTGTATTGTAATTTGAAAGTCATATCAGTCTCTGGTGTGTCTGGCTCCAATTTGGAGGAGACAAATTTGATTCTGTAGGTGTAGTACTAATTTTGACATGTTTGGATGTTTTTTTACTAGAATCGATTGTCTCCAGAATTGATTCTAACTTAGCTATAATTTAAAGTTTTTTACTAGAATTAATTTTGCCTCCATGATTGATTCTAACTTAATACTATAATTTGAAGTTTTTGCCTCTATTATTGATTTTTAGCCTTTAATTTATTGTTCAACTAACTCTTACATAAATGTATTGAACCATAAATCACCTTATTCTCAACTCACTTTTAGTCCGATTCAATTTTACAAATAAGTTCATTCAAAATCAATTTTTTCTCCACAAAATCAAACACGTTAAACTCAACTCTCTTGAAGTATGATAACTAATAGAAATCACCCCCTTTATGTATGCAGAAAGGTGCAATCATCTATTATGACCCCTGAGAACACTGAACTGATCCATAAGTCTGTACACACACTTATATTTACCTTGAAGAACATCGAGGTATGACTCTAGTTCTGAAAATGGTTAAATTTAAACTATTATGAAAAACTTCTAATTTTTTTTCTTTTTCCGTTTTGGTTGTATTTCTGCAGAATATCACCTCTGATATGTTAGGTTTTACTGGTGATGAAAGTACCAAAAAGAGTTTGAAAGTACTTATCAAGAATCTCAGCAGGTTATTGTGAAGTCAAATTCAAAATGAAATAGCATATAACAGGTAACAATATTGCGTACCATATTTTTCATCTGCCACAACATTGAAGGAGAAAATATCAGTTTAATCTGATAAAAGTCGTCTTTTATGGTGTTATGAATGCAGGTGTGTCGGTTGACAGGAGAATTTTGAGTTTTGGTTTCCGCCAAAGTTATTGGCTCCATTTGTGTAGCACTGTCATTTCTTACTGCTAGAGTTTGAGAAGCATGAAGTCAAAGTCTAAAGCTGTTTAGATTTGAGTTGGATGAAATCACCATTGTAGCAATGTATTAGTTGATGACCATGATCAGTTTAATTCCCATAGAACAGTGCAGTTTGATGTCATAGAAAGTTTTCAATACTTTTGTTTAGACAATTATTATACTGTAGAATGTTCTTTGATTAAAAGAAACTTAAAGTTCTTTGAGTTTTTTTTTAACTGAAAATGTAACTTAGTCATAAAAATATACATTTAACTATAATTGGTTCAGTTAAGGTTTAGCTGTTCATGTTGAGAAACCTTTGCAACAAAAACAAATCGACATATGATTGGAAGCTCTGATATGGTTTAAAAAACATAGCATTTTACACAAGCAAACCACATGTTTTTGCCTTGAATGGATTTACATAAGTTGAGATTTGCATGTCAGGGTTCTCAATATTTGAGAATGAGTTTGTACAACTGCCAAAAAATACACTTTATCCATAATCAAGACCTATTCAATCGGTGCATAAACTCTGTCATAACAGTGAGGTTTACACTTGACTTGGAAGCCTTCCATCAAAATTCACGCTGTTAGCAATCCCATCATTTCTTGATCTTTGGCTTGAAAATATTTTCCTTGTAGTATCTAAGTTCCTCAATGCTTTCTCTAATATCATCCAGGGCTCTGTGCCTTTTTTCTTTTGAAGGTGCTCTCTTCTGATCTGCACAAGTCATAACCCTTTACATCAGTACACAATTTTTGCATTCTAAAAAGGATTTAAAATCTTATTTTTTTTGTGAAGGATAGAATACTATCAAATTTTACAAGGACCGGATATATATTCCATGCTAAAAAGAATCAAACATAAACAAGGACCAAATAACCAGAATGCCTCTTATCCCAGTTTCTCATCTCTTGAAATTTGTCATCCAGTTAACAAATATTGAACCTCTTATGACTACGAGAGTAACTCTGTAATTTCTTACCTTTGGGATACCAGCGAATGCAAAGAGCTGAAATACTACTAACATCAACAACCACGTGAGAGAAGATCCCCGCCAATTCTGGCATGTACTTCTGCGAAATTAAACCAGTCAATACAGGTAATGAAACAATATAATGCAAGAACAATAGGATACATAGTTGCAAATAAGAATAGCAATATGTAGGCTTGATACGTGACAAACAGAAAGGAAATTCCTGGTGCTGCTTCCACCAATTTTATCCATGAAGTGTTACTTCAGTGGTGTAAGAGTTTCGCCATGTAATCTCAAGGGCCGAATTCAAAACTATTGGAAACTATTGTAAAATGGACATCAATCATTAATGTCACTTTTATTAATAGTAATTTCCTTCTTCCCCAATTTTTTTATTAAAAAAATCTATCTTTAGATACGCAGATTTTGTACTCAGAATTTCAGATGACAGAAGTTTACATGCAGTGGCTTAACCTGATCTTTTACATGATGTCCATCTTCATAATGTTATGATATGTTCTTTAGATTGACAAAATGACATGGCAAGCTTGATTTATAAGGTTGGCTCATTTACCCAGTTATGTAGTATTCTAATATGATGCAATTCAAAAAACAAAAAATAAATTTGATGAGACCTAGAATTTACAGATGACCATATCAAAAAATGAATCTAGGCTTCAGCAGTAAACCAGGCCATATAAACACTAGCAACAATAAGATGCTAAGGAATTAACAAATACTTCATTAGAATCACTAGTAACTACTTTACTATGGCTGCCACAATACCTTAAGATATTGAAAATCAACATATATTGAATTTCCTGCTAAAAGAGGTGCATATGTACCACCAATATGTCTCTTAACGAATTCAATAACCTGCAAAGTAGAAACTTAATCAGTTGCCTCATAGAACAAGGGGTGATGTACAGGAAAAAGGGTATCCAAACCATAATCTCATAAGAAAATACTCATGCCGGCTTCATGAATCATTAGAATAAAGATAATAGATTCAGTGATAGGAAAAATAAGACTAATAATGTCTAATAGCTGCCAAAAGTTTTCTATCGTGGACCGAGTCCCCCGCCCATATTCTTTATGAACTTTATGAAGGAAAATGAGAACTCAATTCTCAACTATACGCAGAGATGTGGAATTATTCAATCCTAAATAGACAAGTTTAGCCATTTCATCTGTCTCATTCTTACAATATGAAAAAGAAAACAATACTTTAAAATACATTGAAATCAAATGATAATATTGGTCCTATTTAGCATGATAAAATGTAAGTTCCCACGAAATAGAATTTGTCACAATCACATGGTATAGTAACTACAGACCTGTTTTTCAGCTTCTCTTTCACTAATTGTACTTTCAAGCACCATTTTTGTCAACCCTACATTCATTAAAAATCACTAGTCAGTACCATTCAAAACTAAATTCAATGAGGGGAAAGAAGGAATTTAAAATTGTTCACGAGAACCAACGAATCAAATTGTGAATAATATCAGCATCAAACTTTTTCATGTTAATGAATTAATAATATTTTTAATCTGTTTTGAAGGACATCTTATACCCCTCATGAAAATGCTTTCTCTCTAATTAATTATTTTTCTTTCAAGAAGAAGTCAAGTATTAAAGTTTAACATGTACCGCTTACCACTAGCTGCATGATGACTTTGACACCATTCTCCCATCTTGTCAAGGCACTCCTTAGTTTGATGTATGACCAAATCAGGACCCTAAAACAGTTGATAATTTCTTTCATGCACACTCCAATGTAACCATCCATACTAAATCAGTTTTTCACTCAAACAATTTATACAGATATGTAATCAACTGCAATTAACACTTCCATAATCCATTTAGTGCCAAGGTATTCTGTTTAAAAACATTTGATCTAATAACACTTCCCTCCTCCTTTAAAGAAGGGAAGAGGCTAAGATCACTAGTTAAAACCTAATAGAAGTTAAAAATTAAAAATTGAAGTATTTTAAATTAAAGTACCATTTAAAAATTAAAGTATTTTAAATAAACTTCTTGTAAAAGTTAAAAATTAATTTCTGCATATCAATTTTTCAGAAGCTTTCTTAATAACTTTCAAATCTAGAAGCTATGAACATCAATTTTGTGCCAAAACACATCTCCATGTATGCTAAAATCTGCAAAAATACACTACCGGAACGATCCTTCCGATGTATTTTAGGTTCTTCCGGTAAACCCCTGCATTTTCAAGGGGTGGATTGAGAATGGTTCTGTCATCTTAGCAGCAACACTCAAGCATTTTAACTTGTAGAAAATCAAATCCTAACCAGTACAACATATTGAAGGATCATTTGGTGTTTTAAACTCTACTAGTACTCGGTAACAAATTTTAGCTTACAAGTGCCTAAATGTCAGGCAAGGCAGGTAATGAAATAAGCGAGTTTTTCCCCATAGAAAAATAGAGGAAATAAGTCTAGAAAAGGGGGAAGTTATGAGCTAGAGACTAAAAATGTAGAATCTCACTCAAAATGCAGTGATGCAAGAAGACAATCATCTAAATAAAAAAATAGCTAGCAATGCAAATTGTAACATCAAGTAATTATATACCTCCACCGATTTGGTTAAATTTCCATCTGTAATTATACAAGCAATCTCCAGTATTCTATCCACTTCAATATTTAAACCTGCCAAATCACACAAGGTTTAGCACGAATGTTCAAATGTACTAATCTGGAGTTTTGTCGCTCTTAAAATAACACATTCTACATTCTTACCAGTCATTTCCAAGTCAATCCAGACAAGAGGTAACCTGTATTCAGGCAAATAAGCCGCTAGATTATGTCTCTCATTTTTCACTTGTAAAGCTTTGCCATTTGCTTTCTTTCCATTACTACCTGCACCAAGAAAGTATATTGGAGCTGTTTCTTTACAAACATACTAATTAACATAATACTATCTCTAATGCAACTACGTGTAAGCATCAATCCAGAATTTTAAAACTACTCAATACACAAGTATAGATAACAATACAGCTAAAGAATATTTATCAATACAACTAGATTAGCCTCGCCCACGACTCAACGACGCAGAGGCAGCCAAGCATAGGTGTTTGATCAATGGCACAAAAACAAACAATAGAATCATGCATTGAACAATAACCTCACAGAGACCTAAAGCCTTACAGTTGCAGATATTCTTTCCTTCCTACTTCTCCATTTATAGTATTTTTGGATGAGGGACTTTGGAGGGAAAGCAAAGGGCGCGATAAAAATTTATTTCAAAAAAGTATTCTCTAATTTGATAATTTAAGAATGAAAGGAAAGAGTGACATTTATCATAAATCATAAAATTTATAAAACTCTCCTAATTCAAAACTGATAAAGTATACTCTTGTTCCTTTCCCTCCATGCAAAATACCATTCTGGTGATAAACAACTGCTAATAAAAATAAACATCTTATTCTCTTTCCTACTGCAATTTTTTACCCATTGATCAAGGTCTTTCTAATCATGCTAATAATAAGGACTTACTATCTTATTCTCTTTCCTACAGCAAGTATTTCCTAGTGCAACAGTTAATAAAAAGGAACATCTTATGCTCTATTGTTGTTAATCAACCATGATTTTGCATCTTTCTTTCCTCAAAACAAATCACAGGCTTAATGTATGTTCGGTTCTGCAATGAAGAAAATTGATTTTAAGTGAATTGATTCTGGCTAAAACCGAGTTGAAGGTAAAAAGATGTAGGTTTTGATAAATTTCTGAAAAAATGAATTGAACAATAAATATAAGTGTCAAAAACTACAAATTCTACACATCCATAATCAATTATATGTGTGTGAACTATGAAACTGAACATACACTTAGTTAATTTGACACGAAATAATCACATATGATCAAGAACAAGAACAAATTCAAAACCCTAACAAAAACTCAAGCACCATGCATGACGAAACAATTCAAAACAACAAATTAAAAAAAAATGCAAATTGAATAAATAGGCATAAAAGATTGATTACCAGAAGGAAGAGAAAGAGGTTGAATGTCGCTATCATCAGCGTCGAGTTCCAACACCGAAAAAGAGTTCGCAAGGTGTTCCATCTTTCGGGTTTCTTTGGGTTTAAGTTTTTACAAAATTGGGGAAGTTTTAAAGTGAATAGTACTAATTGGAAGAGTTAAACAACACTAATGCTCCAACTGACCGTTACAATGTGAAGAGATAGATGTTTATGGGCTTTTGGGTTGGATATAATAACCCGGTTCGTTTTATACCTAAAATAAATCAACTGAAAATAACTGAAATTAAAAAGTAGTACTAGTACTCTATATGAAAAAGTGCAAATAAACGAGTAAGCAAAAGTAACTAATGCATCATATGTACTAAAATGTGTGAACCATACCATTTTAAACATGTCACTTAAACACTATTTATATTTGAATTATTTTAAAGATGTATTTTTGTAAATATTTCGAAGATGCATCTCCGAAATGTATCCAAACATGTATTTTTTACTATAAGTTGTGTATTTGTTTTCAGATAAATTATGAAGCATGATCTCGAATAAAATAATGGACGTACAAAATAATAAGAGACTAATATTGCGTGTGTTGAAAATAATATAGTAATATAATAGAAAAATGGCGTACAGAATGAGATCCAAAATGTAGTAACAATGTAAGAAATAAAGTACAAACTATGGTACTGTTTACCGTCGAAATTGGTAAACAACCGCTAGTCTTTCAAATTTGTTAAATTTTTAGTTACTTACAGGATCGACTAGATTGATCCTAGAACATGTGTTGTTATTTTAGTTCTTGGGTTTGTTAATTATGAACATTTCGACAATGTTCTTAAAAGTTGTTTAAGGAAACGTTACAATTCTTTAAAGAAATGCATAAGTGTATATTACAAAGTAAATGGATTTGAAATCAATAACAAGATATTAAATATCGAAACTGCCTTTAAAGTAAATTGCAACAAACGTAAATTACAAGAAGAATCTTAAATAATCTGGTAAAAAGTGTAAAGTATGATATTCACACGTACATTTTCACTCAAGAACATTCGTTTCTCACACACAGGTACTTAGAGTAAATTTAGAGTTTTTTGTACAAGGTTGAACACCCCTGAATCCTAACTGCTAAGACTCTATTTATACTAACTCAAAAATAACTGCTATCTAACAGTCTTCTCGCCAGAAAACGCCACGTCTTCACGTGTCTTGAAAACGGATAAAGCCAAAAACATTTATCAACCTTATTTTGAATTTCACCTGTCGAAAGCTACTTCAGGTAAGCTTCGTCGAGCTCCAGTCTAAGGCAAAAATATTTCTAAGTCCTAGACCATAACTTCATTGATACACAGATCCTGCGTCGAAATGTTTGTATCGTTGTTTTATCGAAATAAACATATTCTTTTTCAGAATATTTCTTTAAATCCTATTGCTTACTTCAAGCATTAATGTGCGTCAAAATCCCAGCCAACAGGTTTTACAACAAAATAATAACAGACAAGTACTTGGTATGCTTGACAACCTCTCTTATACCTCCTATGTCTACTCTGCCTCCTTGGCTATCAATCCCCCTCGTCCTCCGACGATGTCTCTAGTACAAAAATGTTACATGTGCCTCCGTTACCATGGCATCCAGGACTCGCTTGACAGCAGACCCCCTTAGAAAAATACCATCATCAATGCCTCACGCCATTTCCACTATGCGGCGACACTGAGGCAATATATCCTCATTATGATCTAGTTGGGTTTACTCCTCCTCTAGAATCTCCTGATGAACTGGTCTTAACGGGTCTCCTAGAGCAATCTGCACCATGTACGAATGTGAGACCCTAAAAAACCACCTGATGTATCTTTCAGCGTAGCTCCAGTCGTTCGACACTATGGTAGCCCGAGCCTCCTCCAATACCAGGTGACTCTCATAATCAACAAACATATCATTTATATATCTACGAGAAAAGGAAGGAAGAGCAAAGATAATAGGGTGTCTAAGGATGGTCTGGGTGTACTCGAACTGCCGTATGACGCGCTCAGAAAGATGAGGAGTAAGAATTATGTGATCCGCAAGCTAGCCATTCGAATACAGATATGTGAGGCAAGTCGCCCTTAGTTTTACTCATGGATCTGATTGAGATCCAAGAACACTCTGAAACCAATCCTCTTCCTGTTGAGGCAATGCAACAATCTTCCTCCCATGGTTCAGAAACTTCTATGGATCACGCTTCTAAAATTTTCCAAAAATAAACAATGTCAGTAATAATCATTGTCATAAATTAAAATTAACGCGTAAACAAACAAAGAATCAAACTAATGTTACCTCTTCGTCCTAGACATGTATGCCAGTGTGGTCTGGATATAGAGGAAATAATTACATATCATATTAGCCTCCTCCAAAACCCTTTGGTTCGACATCCGCTACATCCTCTCCCTCTGAAGGTGGCACAAGATCATCAGCGGGAGGTGGCACTGATGAATCATGACGCCTGCGGGAGGATGAAGGAAGTTACGCGTCAGATAGTGAATATCGTCTCCTATGGGAAGAAGAAGAAGAAGAAGGTGGAATGGCCTGGAATGAAGGAGGAATGGCCTGAGATGAAGGTAGAATGGTCTGAGATAAAGTGGTATGAGGTGAAGGACGAGCCCTAGGAGTAGACTGCGTCCCAAAAGTCGACACTTCTGCCTGACTAGATGTACTTACTACCTTGGGAACATGTTGACTCCGCTCCCGCCGAACGGATGCGTGCTGGGCAACCCAACCATGTCTCAGCATGTCGATTTTGTCATCCATAACTCCTGTAAGATATAGTAAGGTGTATCATTAGTGCACGCAAACAAAACACATAAACAAGAAAATAAAATAAAAAATAAAAAGATAGCAAGAAATTTCGAAGATGCATATCCGAAAACACCATAAAACAATAACGTTGACCATTTCTGGAAATGTATCTCCGAAAACTCCTTAAAAAATTTAATTCAATTACTTCTAGAGATGCATCTCCAAAATATCTCAAAGGTTATGAAACGCTGAACAATTCTGGAGATGTATCTCTGGAATATTCTACAACTCAAAGGTCGCGATAATGGCGTAATGTACCTCTTACAATGTAAAAAAAAAAAATCTTGGTCGCCATTTTGAGCCAACAAACAAGTCATACACTAGGTCTAAACTATGTTACTTGTAATTTTTACACGTTTCTACCCTTAATCACTAATTTTTACACATTTATATCACTTTCTATGGGACTCGATGTAATACCTATTTCAAGCATTCTACTCATATACTTCAATCAGCAACTTACCTTTGCTTTCCATGGGACTCAGTGTGATACCCATCTCAAGCCTAAGGATTATCACTTCATATGGGACCCAATGTAATACCCATTTCAAGTGTTCTATCAATACTTCCTATGAGACTCATTGTAGTACCCATTTTAAGCATTTCTAACGTCGCTTATCATTTCTTAGTTACAGCACTAGCTCATCTCATTAATTGACATAAGGGCTTACTCACCATTCCCTATGAATTTCTACTATTATTATCAAATGTATACATATACCAACAACAATTCATAGATAGAAAATATGCATCACCAACACAACCACAATTCATAGCATATATATCATAATGCGACTTATGACATCTTTGTTAATGCATGCCTACCCTTACCCTTAATGGTTATAACTACAAGTTCTAACCTACCATCTTATAGAGCATTGGAAGAGCTTTCCAATGCTTCCGAGCGCGCGTCAAACGGAGTTACAGTTTAAAAGTTATGACTGAAATCATTATTTAACATTTTAGAGGCTATCCGTCGATGCATAAAGTGTCCAGGTCGACGCATAAAGCGTCCAGGTCGACGCATACTGTTGGGAAAAGTTTTAAAATTCACCGCCTTGCATGCGTCGTCCCTGGGTCGATGCATAGGTTCTGCAGGTCGATGAATACTGCGTGTTTTTAGCCTAAAACTCAGTTTTTCACCGTTAGAGGTCTTCTGTACCTCCGATTTCAATTCCGTAAAAAGCATTGGCATCATAATTCAACATACAACAATGATCCAATAATAAAAAAATGTATACACTTACACAATTAATCCCTCAATCGTCAAGTTTATCATGATTATAATCAATAACCACAACACCAACATCATAACATCATGGTATAATAGAGGAAAGTATGACAATATCAAGAATCATCAATTTCTATTCTATGTTTCTACAACCCTAACTTCTACAATCACAAAGTTTCTACCTAGAACCCGCTATCATAAAGGGATTAAGATTCATAACTCAAGAACAACCCACATCATATAACAAGAACACAACAAATAACATCAAGTTTCACCTTCAATTTAATATACAACACAAACACACAAACCCTATTCCCCTTTTCTTATGAAATCTCTCTCCCCAAAGCTAATTCTATCTATATAACTCACCTAGGTTGATGATGAAGATGATGATATTTGGTGAAGAAGATAATGAATATTGATGGTGATAAAGATGAGATGATGATCATTCATGATATTTCCTCCTTCTTCTTCCTTCCTTCCTCTTCTTTTCCTTTTTCCCTTTTCTCTTTCTCTTTCTCTTTTCTTTTCCTTCCCTTTCTCACATTTTTTGTTCTTTCTTTTTCTCTAATAACTTTTCTTTTTCTTATCTCTTCTTACCTACTTCATTCTTTTCACACCCACCACACAATATACTTACTATATATATTACTTCATTCTTTTCACACCCATCACACAATATACTTACTATATATATATATAATGTTATAAAATATCTCAAATGATATTTTATCTTCTAGTACCAATTGACCCATTATTAGTGTTACCAACGTGTTCCCTCTTGTACCTATTAATAATGGTCAATCTCTTTTATGAATAAGTAATCTCTTAAGAGTCTACTAATTACTCTATTGGTCCCAACTGATGACACTTAGAGCACTTACGAGCTTCAGTAAATTCGAATGGTATCCAAGTAAGCATTTAAGGGAAATATGGGGTATTACACTCCCCTCATTAAATTGAAATTCGTCTCCGAATTTCCTCTACTCAAATAAAATCACTCTTGCATACTCTATGCTTTACT